TTTTTTTTTTTTTTTTTTTTTTATTATTAAATTCTTTTCCATTTCTGTTAATCAAACAAAGCAAAAAAAATTCATTAACATATATATATATATAGTATTTCGTCTTGTCGATCCTGTTATCGTATTGAAAGAAAAAAATTAGGTCACAAGAGCGATGATTCAGAAGCTGGTACAACAACGTAGAACGATATCCTTCACGTTCCTTTCCGTATTGTTCGCGTGCAACTCATTGCTTGCTACGCTTCCATGACATTTCATGACGTTCAGTGTGTCACAGGAAAAGGGATATTATCCACTTAGCGTGTTCCAAACCACCACTTTACGGTCCATTTGAACATAAAGCTCTACGTATATCGCCCACGGCCTTCCCTATTTAACGTCCAGCTCTGTTTTATCCATCGAAACAATCCTAAATTTTCACTATCAAACTCATATTCGATTCGTCGAGTTAAAGCTCTTGGTTACTTCTCAGGAACAAGAGAGATCATGGATACGTATGCGCAATTGAAAACGGTGACAGGAAGCATTAGGCAATCAATTCTAAAACGATCAATCCCAGACCTGCAAAATTGTGGGTCGAGTACATCGTACAAGTGCATTGGCGTAATTTTCGAGAGAATTTTCGCTCTCGAGAAAATTCGATTTTTAAAATAAACTTTTCAACGTGTGTAAACTTGATATCATTCTGTTTATATATAATATTGGCTTATGATTATAAACATGAAAAATAGTGTAATCATCTTACTAGCTTCTTTCTTATCTATCAGTATATTAATATCGGATTCGAATATACATATATTTAGTATTTTATGAAAATAAATTTACCACGATAGATATTTAATTAACTAATATATTTCGCTAATATTAACATATTGAGAATCAATAATTTTATCGTTTTACTTTAATAAACCAAATTTTATGTTTCCGTATGAATACTTTATCGATAATAATGATAAATAAGAATTCTTACGATTAATCATAAGAAGCTCCATAGAAGAGAGATGAAAATAAAACTTCGAGGAACCGATAACCAAAGATATAAAAGATAGGATAATTCGTGTCTCGAAACATAACCTCGAAATCTCATCTATGGATACATTTGCATAACTCGACTACCTATATACCCATATAACCATAATATTCCATAAAACTTGGAAAAGCTTGAACGAAAAAAGAAAATGAATCAAATCCTCGAAAAATATCGATCTCCCTTCAATTTCAATCAATCTATTGAAATGAACGAAGGGCACAAAAAGATTCGACCAGGAAGAGAAGTATTTTCCTCGATCCAGTTTGTTGTTGGTCCTTCGATTCAATCATCCTCTCCTCTCGCCTCGATCCATCTCGCCCGTATCCGGTGGTGCAGGCATCGTCGTGGCCGCCTTCCAGTCGCGGGCTTGCGCTGCAATCGCGGCGAGGAAACGGCCAGTGCTTCACCAGCTGTCGAGGCCGAATGGTTGGCCTCGTCAACCCTTTCGTCTGACCGCGTTTTCTCCTCTCTCGCTCTCACTCCCTCTCTCTCCCTCTTTCTCTCTCTCTCTCTCTGCTCGTTCTCCTCTCCTCCACCACCCTCTCGATCCGTCGGCCTCGTGGTCTGTCGAGGAAGGTGGAATTATAAGGTGGAAGGAAGTGGGTTCGATAACAAGGATTTAACAACAGCAGGGAGGAAAGATGAGACGCATCGGCATCCTCGTCGTTTGCCTATTGGTCGTGCTCGGTTTTTACGGTAAGCGTCGACTCTTGGGGTGGACTTGGTTCAACGATCCAAGGGGGAGGAGGGCGAGACCGTTTCTATATCGATCCTCGTGTACGCTGGCTTTCGTTCGCTGGTTCTTTTTTAATTTTTCGACAATTGGTGGTTCCGTAAATAGTGAATCGTGTTTTGGTGGTGGAATGTAGCAGGGATGTTGAATTTATGTCATCATATTTCGGTGACAATATTTTACAGTAAAATTATATAAATTGGAATTAATTGATCATTAAAAATATGATAAAAAGGTGTGAAAATATAATTGATGAATTTGTTGTGAACTCGCCCAATCGTGTTCTTCGATCGACAATAATTTGTGGTGGAATTCGAGGGATTCTGTTCTGTCAAAAAAATTTTCCCTAGTCAGCAAAAAACGATATTCCACGTATCTCATTATTATTACGTATCAAATTATTATATACGAATATACAATAAATTTTTCTCGTGAATTCGTGTTTTTTTTTTTTTTTTTTTTTTGATCGATGATAATCGATAAAACGCATCCATAATTTCTAATATATCATAAATAAATATATAAATAAATAAATAAAATGTTATTGCAATTGTGACATGTCTATGAGGCGGATAAAATTGTTACCGAGACGCGTCGTCGTTTCGCGTTTATTGACGCAATTATTAAATTATGCTTATTATTACGAAGAAGTAGATTGATTCAAGTTTCTTGGTTAAATTTAAATTTCATTCCTTTTTTTTCAATTAACGGTAATATTAGCCAATGAAGTGATAATAACACACCCTGTTCGAAAAGTGGATCGGCTTGCTTCCTCATTGTGTTTAGTGTTTTGACCGATTTAACCACAACGACGGGATACGTGTATATATAAAAGCGAAAGAGAAAAAAAAAAAATCGAAATATCGAGCAATTATCGCGCGGTTAAACGATCAGAACGAGAAATGTATTTGATCGATGAACACGTTTTTAATTCAACGAAATAGAGAGACTGGTGGAGATCAATGACGACTTTATGCTATGCGCAAATTTTTCATACGAGTTGAAAAATTTGTTTCTCGTTTATTATTATGGATTAAAGGAATATTATTAATTATTTCGTCTTTTTTTCTTTTTTTTTTTTAAATTTTTTGCGATATATATATATATATATATATATATATATATATTTGTCGATCGAAAAATTATTTTAAATTATTATTACGCTTATCGTATTGCGTAATACTATTTATATTCTGAAACTGTGAATGATGGTACAAATAAGATTAAAAGCGCGTAAACTTATTGTGAGTATGCATTTCTAGGGCACGTAGCTGCATTGATTTTTATAATACTTACGGTCAAAGGTACAATGAACCTTCTTCTTATTATTATTATTCTGTTGGAATACATGCAGAATCATTTTAAAAACGTTTTTTTTTTTTCCTTTTTGATCTTTTAAAAAGTAAATTTGCTTAGATATTTAATATTTAATATTTTTTGTCCAAATATCTTTTTCTTTGATTTTTCGTTAAAAGCTATAATTCGATATTTATTCGATGTTTAACAATAATTAATTTTGTATAAACGTAATGACCTATATAACACGGAATATTCGTACGTTAAACGCATCGCCACGGAGATAAATCTCGTCGCGTTATTTTCTCTCCACCGTGACCTCTCTTATCGTTACCCGTTTTCCAACAACATTCCCGTAATCTCTCCAGTTTTCGTAGTATGTACCCATACGTTACATAACGCATATTAAATTAATACAATCAAATCCCCTATCCCGCGACAATGATAAATTTCCTCGACGAAAATATGAATTTAATTCCTCACTCTGATTCCAGGTATAAACGCGATGCAATGTTATCTCTGCAACAGCCACAACGACAGCCGATGCGCCGACGAGAATCCACCGGACGCGTTGAAAAAAGATTGCTCCGATCTGAAGAACGGCGCAAAGTACACCATGTGCCGAAAGATCACGCAAGTCATCGAGTTCAGCGTTAATGGACGTGAGTAACGCTCAAAAAAAAAAAAAAAAAAAGAAGAAAAGAAAAGAAAAGAAGAAAAAAAAGTCCAATCAAGCATTTTTAATATTTTTTAACCAAGCCTATTTTACCAACCGTGTAACGTACGCGTCGATAACCGTGTAACGGCTGCGCTAACTCGAGATATTATCGTTTATTATTGCACTAAGTAATAACCGTACATTGAACCGTCCAATCGTGTGTTTTCTTTAACAGTTCCACCCGACACGAGAGTGATAAGGGGCTGTGGATGGGACGAGTCGAATTACAAGGGAAAATGTTACCAGAGGAGCGGTTTCGGTGGCCGCCAAGAGGTTTGCTCGTGTCTGACAGACTTTTGCAACACGGGTACACCGAGCGTTCTACCGCCAACGTCGCTGATCGCCTCGTGCGTCGCCGC